CTCGTCCAAAACAGCACGCTGCAAGCACCGCTCTCCGCGGGTTTTCCCTCCTTGCAAGCATGATCGGGCCGTTTGGCGCGATTGATTTGGTGTACGTCGCGCCTCCGCCCCGTCTCTTGTCGTATGTCTCCAGCGTCGTCCGCAACCTCACGCACCTCTTGGTCACAAACTTGGACGCGCAGCGCGCGTTTCGCGCCCTTTCCATGCCCGTGCGGTACGCGCCAGTGCCGTCTTTGATTTCCGCACTCGCGAACACGAGCTTCGTCGGCGGCAACATCTTGTGCGGCGACGACAGCAGTCCGTGGAGTGTTCAGAATGGATTTTTTGTTGCATTTAGCAGCACCAACATGTGTCACTCGACGTTCACCGACATGGTGCAGCCGACCCCGCTCATGCCGCTCGTTGCCTTGCTTTCGATGACGGCGTCGTCTCTAGACATTGACAGCATCTGCGCATTGGACATGCTGCAGCCAGCGACATGTGTGCGGGATCATACGAGCTCACTGTCCTTTCTAGCGACCTACTTGAACGACAATGCGACAACTTTCGCCTTTGAGACGGACGCGGTGGCCGACGACGTCAAGGCCACCGGGGTCGGGCTCGTACAGTTTCTCGTCACCTCGGGCGTGACGTCGCTGCGTCACTTTGCCCTTCTGGACCCGGATGACCGCGCGTACATGTACTATGGATGGTGCTACCTCTTCAAGTGGGCACTTGGCGAGCGCGAAGTCATTTCGTTGGTTGGTGATCACGGCCAAATGACGGTTCTCTCCGGCATGTCGCTGCCTCTGGCCATGGTACCAGACCCACACGCGATACCGCTCAGCTTTGCTCTGCTGACCCAGTACTGCGTCCAGTACATTTCAATCGTGCTCATATGCATCAGCAGCCTCCTTGTGGTCTCCGCCTTTTACCACGGTGGGCGCATGGAAGGGCTGAACCTCCTCTGCGTCAACCGCGTTGTTGGTATGGTCTGGCTTGGCCGCCCGTTTGTGTTCTTGCGCAGTCTCTCGGCGATCTGGCTCCTCAACACGAGCCCCCTCACGCTCGTGCAAGCGGGGGTGGGCACCTACTTTACGTCGCCGCCATTAGCGTGGTTCAGCACGCTGCTCGCCACGTCCGAAATGACGTGGTTTGTCTACGTCCTCAACGATCTCTTCTCGTGTGGCACCAAGGAGTACACGTCGCAGTACGCCTCCAAGAGCTCCAATCTCACGTGGCTCGTGATTTTCCTCTGGACGCTGCAGTCGCCGCAGCTCTACGCCGCAACGATAACGCGGAGTTGCCTCTACGATGACATGGACGCTGGCGTCCACTGCGTCTCGGGCAGCATCGCGGTCGGGAGTCTTCGCCGCCTCGGCACGTCGATTGGCCTCGTCCTCGCTTGCTTGGGCGGGAGCTACCTCGTTATGCGCTGGTACGAGCCCACGCCGCGAAGACTGCAGGTGGAAACGCCGCTCTTGAACGCGCAGAGCTACTACCTGCTGCGCCTGCACCGGTGGCGCGTCGACGGGGTCCAGTACATTGACAAGACGTCGGCGATCATGGCTGGACTGCTCTGCACCACATATCGCGGCCAGCACGTCGTCTTGGACATCAAGTCGTGGCGCATCTACGCAGTGCCCCTCACGGCAGCGCAGGCCCAACATGGCCGTCTGCGGCACGCACTGCCGCTGTACCCTTGACGCGACGGCTAAAATAGTCGAGCGTATCGGCTAGGTCGCGCCGGTACGCACGGGTCTAGAGCGATCAAGCATCAAGTGCATCGAAGAAGGTGTGTTGATCCGAACGCGCGGCTGTCGATACCCTGCGACGCGTCGGTCGACATCAACGGGATACAGTGTATGAAAGAAAGTGACAGGATCAATCCAAAGTTTTCGCAATGGCAAACTGTTTCGATGCTACGACAAGCTGATCAAACTTTCAAGCGACACCGGTACGCCAAGTACTCGGCGAGCGCAACAAACCGCCGAGTATAGGCGCTGCTGAGGGCGCCCACGACATCGACACCAATCGAGTCGAGGTACACAAGGACGTCGGCCGAGCTTTGGCGCAGGGCCGACGGCGCAACTGTCGGCGTCACCCGCACAACCTCGCAAAGATACCGCACGACCTCGAGATGCTCTTGGATGACGGCGTCGTCCAACGCAGCAGACGAGCAGCCTTCGCTTCGGTGCGTGTGCAAATAGGCCACGAGGTCGCAGTTGCCAGAGGCGGCGGCGATGTCCATGACGCGGGGTGACCATTGACCGAGTCCTTCTTCGTGGAGGTAGCGGACGACCTCCAAGTGCCCACGACGCGCCGCGCGCTTGGGCACATCATCTAGCACCGGTACCTTCATGACGCTGTGCAGATAGCGCACCACGTCGACGTGACCGCGCTTGGCTGCATCGAACAGCGCGTAGGGCGAAGCCGTATGGTCGCAGTGCTCGTGCAAGAAGACGACGACGTCCAGATGCCCGTGGCCTGCAGCGCCATGCATCACGAGCTCGCCGCAGTCGTCGTACTGGTGGGTCTTGAGAAACTGGACGACCGCCAAGTGCCCGTTGATTGCCGCCTTAATCATGGCTCCGTGGGAGCACGTAAAATGCCCGGCGTTGTGCAGCGACGTGACAAGATCCAGTCGACCAAACTCCGCGCACGTGTCCATGTACTCGTGGGACCAGAGCTGGACCGGGTGCAATAGTTCAATGATGGCATCGTTGCCGCCTTTAACGGCGGCGACGATGACGGATGCGGGAAGCATGTCGTTTGGGTGCAGAGCGCGCTCGTGTGCGAGCAGTCGTTGACAGCACTCAAAGTGACCGTACCGAGCGGCCAGCTCCAGCGCTCTGACTGACGACGTCCTATTGGCCAAAATGAATTCGACAACGTCGTCATGGCCGTGCGACGCAGCCAGTGCGAGCGAGTGTTCGAGGTCCATATCGGGAAAGTGTGCGTGGACCAGCTGGAGTCTCTCGAGAGGCGATTTCGTGGCCGAGAGCTCGACCGACGTCACAGGACCAAGCCCGCGTTCGGCGAGGTATGTCGCGACGTCCTTGTGACCATGTCTCGCAGCAATATCGTATGCGTCGTCGTGCGGCCACAACACGGTGGTTTCTTCCACGAGAAAGCGAACGGTTGGGAGGTGGCCGTCCGAAACGACGGTCGTGATGTACTTATGCACTTCGCACAGCCCGCGCTCGTTGTAGAGCTGTCGCAAGGCATGTACGTTTCGGCTCTGAAGCGCCACTTGCGTCGAGAGACGCATGTCGTTCATGTCTTCAAAGCGGTCGTACTGGCCGTTGTGCAACGCCACTTTGCGCAGCATCGCGGCCCATGACGTGGCGTCGCCACTGGTGTCCATGGCAGCCGCTCGCAACGGGTGGTCGCCGGTCGCCGCCGCATGCAGCGCAACGCACGGAGCCAGCGGCGGGTAGAGTTGCATGAGGCCAATG